AAAAAAAAAAAAAAAAAATTTTTTTGTACAGACAATGTCTTGCTGTGTTGCCCAGGCTGGTCTTGAACTCCTGGGCTCAAGTGATCCTCCTGCCTTGGCCTCCGAAAGTGCTGGGATTATACACATGAGCCACTGTGACCAGTCCAACATTTTTACTTTCTGTACCTCAACTTTCATCAACCATTTTCCTATTGTAAGACATTCCAATTGCTCTAATATTCCATTTCTATAAATGACAGTATGAAATCTATAAGCTTAATCTTTACATATATATACTACAAAAATTGCCATCAAGGTAGGTTATAGTACTTATAATACATTCACTTAAGTAACAAGCATATGAGAACATTTTGTATTCCTTTTTGGAAAGTAAAAAGGATTAGTGATTAGGCAAATTCTTTCCAGGTAAAAATCAGAAAGCTGGATTCAGGATGCAAAACAGTTTACTAGGTACTTTGAAAACTGAGAGACCCTGACAGGTGTTCTAGTTCCTGCAAAGAGCCAGATATTTTATTTGACTTACTTCTTCCAAAGGAATTACCTTTCGAAGCCAGCCAGGACAGGAGCTGCTGGCCCCATTACTGTTCCCCATGGCCTCTGTGGGACTGATTAAACCTTCCATTCCTCGGTCTGCTTCCATTGTTCCTCGGAAGCCTCCACTTGGGTCAGGAGTTTCAGATTCCTGCTGACTGTCCTCCTCTTCACCACTGCCGCCGCCACCACCGCCCCCGCTGCCTCCTCCCGGGCTAGAGCTCTGCACCACTGACAGATATACAGCACAGAAATAGACAGCTTTGCTGCACAGATTTACCATCTGACAACCCCACTTACCCTGGAAAGATGCCTAAAGTTGCATGAAGTGCAATGGTAACAGTACAAGTCAAATACTAGGAACTAAATTTTTGGTTTTCATGCAAACTAAGTTTTGTAATTTTGTATAGTTGTATTTGTGTATCAGGATGCTCATAACCATAATTCACTTCCATTTAACAATTTTGTTTATATCCATAGCAGGTTATCAATATTCTAAAAGCATTACCAAACAATCCCCCTGACCACAGAGCCCATCAAATCTAGCACCCATGCTTACTCTGCTTCTTTAAGAGATACATTCAGATTCCAGCATTCTCCATAGACATTCATCATATATAAAAAGGTCTTTAACATTTGAGCCAAACTCCTCTTAAAGCTGCCAGATAAACTTACTATCAACTCCCTGTCTGGGGAAAACCTAAATGTTGAATTCTTTTTTTTTCTCTTTTTATTTTTATTTTGTTTTTTTGTTTGAATGTTCAATTCTTTTAATTTTTTGTAAAGACTTTTTTTTTTTTTTTGAAATGTAGTCTTGCTCTGTCACCCAAGCTGGAGTGCGGTGGCCCAGTCTTGGTTCATTGCAACCTCTGCCTCCCAGGTTCAAGCAATTCTCCTGTCTCAGCCTCCTGAGTAGCTGGGATTACAGGTGCACACTACCACACCTGGCTAATTTTTGTATTTTTAGTAGAGGCGGGGTTTCAACATGTTGGCCAGGCTGGTCTTGAACTCTACACCTCAGGTGATCCACCCACCTTGGCCTCCCAAAGTGCTGGGATTACAGGTGTGAGCCACTGCACCCAGCGATTTTTATTGTTTTGAGACAGTTTCACTCTGTCACTCAGGCTACAGTGCAGTGGTGAGCTCTTGGCTCACTGCAACCTCCACCTCCCAGGTTCAAGAGATTCTCATGCCTCAGACTCCCGAGTGGCTGGGATTACAGGCGTCCACCACCATGCCTGGCTAATTTTTGTATTTTTAGTGGAGACGGGGTTTTGCCACATTGGCCAGGCTGGCCTTGAACTCCTGGCCTCAAATGATCCACCCACTTCGGCTTCCCAAAGTGCTGGGATTATAGGTATAAGCCACTGCGCCCAGCCAATTCTTCAACATTTAATGTGAACGTTACATTCTCTGATGACTATCTGTATGAATTTTTATAATATTAATGGCTGGTTCTTTCATATCATATAGCATATTCCAAGCAACCTTAATGAAGACTAGCTGATGTGTGGTCAGGAAATGAAACTGAATTTTAATATGGGCCAAAGAAAAAAATAATTAAGAAAATTAATTTGTCAAAGTTAAAAAAATTGCCTGTTATTTTGTTTTTTTTTTTCCTTTTACTCCTCAGAAATCCTTGTTCTGACGCCTGGTATTTTTCAAGGATAAATGTAAAGAAAGGTTAATTATCATCTGCTGGGCTGGCCTGGGGACTAACCGGGTCATGCTGAGATCCTAGGGAAGCAGCAGAACTACTGTTACCAAAGTGAGTTCTGAAGCTTACTTTTTTGTTTTAGATGTTTTTTTAAGATTTAGCTGCATTTTAGATATACCTGACTATTTTAACATATGTGTAAATTTTCATGCTTAACAATAAATATAGGTTTCTCTGCCACTAGAAGAACTAAAACTGCACTATCCAATATGAGTTACTAGCCATATGTGGCTGTTTAAACTTAAAGAGAATTAAGAATTCAGTTCTTCAGTCACATGAGCTACTTTCTTGAGTGCTCAATAGCCACAGGAAGCTGGTAGCTACTCTACTGAACAGCACAGATATGGATCATTTCCATAGTTGCAGAAAGATCTACTGGACAGTGTTGAACTAGAGCATTACTTATGTCACCTTATCTGCCTTATAAACTCCTTCCTTCTCTGGCCTCCTACCCAGATGAAACCATTCTGTTTAATTTTGTATTTATCATTTCTTCTTAAAAACTTTATCACCTTTATGCATCCTTAAACAATGTATTACTATTTATTTTACTTTTTTTTTGAGATGGAGTCTCGCTCTGTCACTAGGCTGGAGTGCAGTGGCGTGATCTTGGCTCACTGCAACCTCTGCCTCCTGGGTTCAAGCTATTCCCTTGTCTCAGCCTCTCGAGAGGCTGGGACTACAAGCGTGCACCACCATGCCTGGCTAATCTTTTTTTGTATTTTAGTAGAGACAGGGTTTCACCATGTTGGCTAGGATGGTCTCGATCTCCTGACCTCATGATTTACCCGCCTCGGCCTCCCAAAGTGCTGGGATTACAGGCGTGAGCCACCATGCCTGGCCTATTTTATTTGTTTTTAAGTTTTATAAAAAGGCATGTAGTCTGCTGCAACTTGCTTTTTACATTTCACATTATGGAAATATTTGGAGATGTTCACATTCACTCCAATGGATGGTTATAACACATTTAATCAACAAATAGTAACTGAGCATTTACCATTTGCCAGGCATTGCTCTAGGCAGGTACATAAAATTAATGAATAAAAAAGGCACAAATCCCTGCCCTTACTCGAGTTTACATCTTCCCACCAATGGACATTTGCTTTTAATTTTGTGTTTTTCCTTTAAATACTGTTCTAGCAAAACAAAGTTGTTGAACAGCTGTGCTTAGCAAAAAAGATCTTCAGTCAGTTTTCACAGATATTAATATACGTAAACAGAGATGCCAAGCAATTGGCTACTTAAGTAAACTATATATAATATGGTATAAGTCGGTGTATATGTGTAAACTGAAGTTCAACAATTCTAGATCATGTTTTCAGCTGTCTTTTTCAGGGTTTAATCTGTTTGACTAACTGACTCACTTTGTATATTTATTCATTCATTTGAGATAGGGTCTCGCTATGTTGCCCAGGTTGGATTGCAGGGGCTATTCATAGTTATGATCATAGTGCACTGCAGCCTTGAACTCCTGGCCTCAAGTGATCCTCCTGCCTCAGCTTCCTGAATACCTGGGACTAATGGCTGTGCCACTGTGCCCAGCTTTAATCTGCTTTTATTCTGAGTGTTTATGTGTTTTGATTCCAAAAAATATCAGAATATGGGCTGGGCACGGTGGTTTATCCCTGTAATCCCAGCACTTTGGGAGGCTGAGGTGGGCAGATCACTTGAGACCAAGAATTTGAGACCAAGCTTGCCAACATGGTGAAACCCTGTCTCTACTAAAAATACAAAAATTAGCTGGGTATAGTGGTGCATGCCTGTAATCTCAACTACTTTGAGGCTGAGGCAGGAGAACCGCTTGAGCCCAAGAGGCCGAGGATGCAGTGAGCCAAGATCATGCCATTGCACTCCAGCCTGGACAAAAGAGTAAGACTGTGCCTCAAAAATTAGTCAATCAATCAATCAATCAGAATCCTGGTTCTGAGACATCAAAGACTACAGGGACTCTAGCAGGTAGAAAACCAAAAAGGAAAAATATAATTTCCTGGCATGGTTCCCAATAATAGAGAACCATGAAGATAGCAGTCAAAGGAAATCTATCAGAGAATTTGGGGGTGATTCTCCTAACCACACTGGAAGTTTAGCTGAGTTTTATTCTGAGTGCCTGTTTTGGTAGACTATTTCTTTAGAATACCCCTGGGAATACTGTGGAAGTAGAGGACGCATTACCCACTAGGATAGTAAGGAAAGGAATAATACGTAAGTCACATTACAGTACTGGGCAAGTTACTTAGTTACTTCTCATATGCATTGGAGGCAAAGATGATGTACTGTCTCTCTGACCACAATGTAAAGTCATAACTTACTGTGAAATCCACCAAAGTATGATCTTCTCTCTTAATCACTGTATTCCTCAATTCCCAAAGAAATTTCCTATTTTCCTTTGAGTTTTGGAGACTACATGGAATCTAGCCAAAAGACCCACACTTCAGAAAACCACTGGTACCTGAAACATTGGTACTTACCAGTTCCAATGGATAAGCCACTGCTATTGGAACGAATGGTCTTAGAATTCAGTACTTTCTCTGAGAAAAAAATATTTGGTAGGTAAGCACTGTATACAGATATAGGCAAGACAACTGAGAGAAGACTGGGATAGGGAGATAATTGCTCTCCCTGACTCCAGATAACTTTAGAATTATTACTTACAGTTTTAGAAATTAATATCATAAGCTAAGCACTACTTGCTATTCTAACTATATTCACTATCTACATTAGCAGCTGTCTACCTTGGCTGGTCACTGGAATCACCTGGGAAGCTTTAGAAAGTAACCATGTTTGAGACCAGCCTAGGCAACATGGCAAAACCCCATTTCTACAAAAAATACAAAACTTAGCCAGGTGTGATGGCACAGGCCTGTAGTCCCAGCTCCTTGGGAGGCTGAGGTGAGAGGATCAATTGAGCCTCACAGATGGAACTGCAGTGAGCCATGTTTGTGTCACTGCACTCTACTCTGGGTAACCGAGTGAAACTCTGTCTCAAAATTTTTAAAAAAGGAAGTAACACTGTGTAGGTCCGTAGATTCTACCCCAGAGATTCTGATTTAGATGGTCAGCAATAGGGTCTGGATAACAGTATTCTTAAAAGCTTCTTGGCCAGGCACAGTAGCTCACGCCTGTAATACCAGCACTTTAGGAAGCTAAGGCGGGCGGATGATGAGGTCAGGAGTTTGACACCAGCCTGGCTAATATGGTGAAACCCCGTCTCTATTAAAAATACAAAAATTAG